TGACAACATTTGAGGGGGGGATTTATCAAAACTGGAGCAGACAAAATCTGGAGCTGCTTTGCATGGCCAATCAGCTTCTCTGTTCAGTTAAGATTTGAAAATGAAAGAGAGAAGCTGATTGGTTGCCTTGCACACAGCTGTTCCGGTTTTGATAAATCCCCTTCTCAGTCTTTTGGGGTAGGCTGAACTCGATGGACTTGTGTCTTTTTTCAACCTGACTAACTACTGTATGTAACTATCAACATGGCTCATCTTGCCTTGGGGATTTTTTTCCTTTCAAAAGTGCTCCAAATCTGGTCATCAGATAGCGAGGGCGTCTCCTGTGCACAGCTCTCTTCAGGTCACCCCACATATTTTCAATTGGATGCAGGTCCAGGCTCTGGCTGGGTCATTCCAAAACTTTGATCTTCTTCTGGTGAAGCCATTCTTTTGCTGATTTGGAGGTATACTTTGAGGGGTTGTTGTGCTGAAAGTGAAATTCCTCTTCATCTTCAGCTTTTTAGGTTTTGTACAACTTTTCATGCATCATAGCACCCTCCCCCACATCCCAGACATATACAAAATGCAGGAGAATGTTGTCACATGTATTACACAACCAGGACTTGTCAGAAATTCCTGCAGCTCCCTTAATGTTGCTGTAGGCCTCTTGGCAGTCTCCCAGACCAGTTTTCTTCTTGTTTTTGTCATCAATATTGGAGGAATGTCCAGTTCTTGGTAATGTCACTGTTGTGCCATACATTCTTCACTGTGTTCAATGGTATATCTAATGCTTTGGACCCTTCTCCTGGCTGATACCTTTCAACAATGAGATCCCTTCGATGCTTGGTAAGCTCTTTGTGGATCATGGCTTTTGTCAACTGAGTAAATCTCAGAAAAATCCTACTAGAACAGCTGAACTGTATATGGACTTCATCAGAATCACTTTAATTGATGGCAGGTGTGGGCTGACTGCTATTTAACATCAGTTTTATTTCTAAACACAACCACATCCCTAATTATAAGAGGGTGTGTACATTAATGCAGCCACATTATTTTCCCCCACTAAACAATTTAAGTTTGTTTTTAATTGAATTATACAGATTATAGGTCACATTAAAGGTGGAAAAATGCTCTGGAAGCACTTTTGTAGGTCCGTATGCCATACGTCCTTGGCAGCGAAAGGGTTAAGGGCCCATTCACACTAGATGCTGTGCGTTCCTGCCTAATTCTGGCCAGAACGCACTGCCTCGCATTGCGGCCGGCTCACTTTTTAGTGGGGCAGGAGGAGGTGTGACGGGCCATTGAAGTGAATGGCACCGTAGCCACGCCCTCTGGCTGCAATGCGATCGGCCGCACGGGATCGCAAGGCACATTATGCCTGCGGTCCGGTCCGGTGCGATCAAAATAGTGCTTGCATCTGGTGTGACTGAGCCTTTGACCATGCATTTTTACTGGGGTATATAGAATTTCTATATCCACTGTACAATGAAAACCAACATATCCCTAAAATAAATAAAATCCCCCAAATACCCTCTAACAAAAGCCGACTTTTTAGGAAATCCTTGATGCAGAAAAAATAGAAATAAAGACCCTATACATAACCATAATAAAAAATATACCCCTAAAATAAATGAGAATTACAAAATACTGCCCCCCTGAAACAAGCCACTTTTTAAAGGGAAGTCTTGCAGCCAAAGAAAACATTTTGCTTTGGACAGCAGTTAAACGTGACCACTGGCTGTAAAATAAACCACAAAATAGAATGAAATACAAATAAGCCCACAGTAATACAAAAAGGCAGCAAAGTGGTTGATTACCCAAAATAACTAACTGACCCTAAACTCTCCCTATGCAGTTTACCAGCCTATCCCTTCCCTACAATATCTTTCAATGAACTGTCATTATTGGTTTGATTTAGGCAAATAGGCTGTTCACTTTTTAGGGGCATTTTCCCTTAGCTTAGTGAATGTGGTAAAATGTACTTGGCTAATAATACCCACTCACATGCAAAAAAAACAAAACAGTGTTTGCTTTGCTTAGATGATTGACGTCAGTAGAGCTTCACCTCATTTACTAATCTATGGGGTGTTCTGTGCACCTCCCATTTATAGTAAGGGTGCTGGTAAATATCAAAGCCCTTATTATTGGTCCTTCGAATCCAGCTGACCTAAGTTGAAGGGCATTCACAGTGCATTATGTTTACAATTTGGGTGGCTGAATTCCCACATTAATTTGCCAGGATCACAAAGCTTGTACAGCAGGGGTGCCCACAAGGTCGATCGCGATCTACCAGTCGATCGCGTAGCGATCACTGGTAGATCGCCATGTCCTCTCCTCTCGCCGCTTCTCTGGATCCCCGCTGCTCTCCCCAGCGGGGATCCGAGAAGAAGTAAAGGAACCGGCGGCGGGGGAAGGTGGAGCCGCTGTCACAGAACGAATGCAGAGCGGTGAGGAGAGAGAGAGACGCTCGGCCAGGATCTGACAGCCGGCGCCTCTCTCTCCCCTCACTGCTCGTCCGTTCTGTCACAGCGGCTCCGACCCCCCGCTGCTGAAGTGCTTTCACTTCCCGTCGGTAGGACACCCCACGTGCAACGTCGGCCACACGAGCACCACGGGCTGGACAGGACGCTGGGACATGTAGGGCGCACTGGAATATAAGCCGGCCGACTCCCTGCGTTCAGGTGCGGGAGCGGGTGTGGAGCTGTATTGAAGTCAATGTCATCGCCCACATTGCGATCGCCCGCACTCGGAACGCAGGCACATTAGTGCCTGCATTCCGGTCCAGTGCGATCTGCAAAAATAGTGCTCGCAGCATTTTTGCGGATCGCACTGGACTGGAACACAGGCACTAATGCAGGCGATCGCACTGTGGGCGAGGGGCCTGGCTGCGGTGCCATTGACTTCAATGCACCGCCACGCCCCCTCCCGCCCCTGAATGCAGGTTTTTTTTCGTTGGTAGATCTCAATGAGCTCGTCATTTGAAAAGTAGATCTCCAGACGAAAAATAGTGGGCGCCCCTGTTGTACAGTCTGGGTTCACCTTTAACCCATGGTAGACCCATAGCCAAGCCTCATCCCTATTGCTAACATGTGGCCTATTGATTTGATATTGATTATGTAAACTGTGACTTTTAGTAGGTTCCCTTTTTATTAAAATCACTGATTTTTATATAGATTTTTGCATTTGGACATAACGATGTGTCATTTTTAGTTGTTACTGCTTGCTTTTTAACTTTATTGTTGTTATTAAACATTCTGTATCCCATCTGGCTCATGTTTGTTGTTGATGCATCTCCATAAAATGTGTTTGAGATCATTAGATTTTGGCACAGATAAAGGTTCTTCAGGTTTGTGTAGATCAGGGTCTCAGATCCCTGGAGAAACATAATACTGGTGACTTGGCAGCAATACAGGAAGCCAGAGGGGAAGTTGTTGGGGACTAAGCATTAAGCAGATGTCACATAGGTCACTGAAGATATTTCCGGGAGAAAGTCATGATTTCCTTACAGCGTGCTGCACACAAGCTTTTATGTTTTGATAGCAGCAAGATTTATTTAACTCCTTCCTAAAATGCCAAGTAGGCCATTATTTTTTATATTTCTCAACTAAATATCCTGGTTCAGTTTTGTGGAGAGACAAAAACAAGTCAGTTTAAAAAAATAGATAGGTTTTTTAAATATAGTTAAAGCAAGGACTATAATAAACTAAGTTGCCCAGTCCTGGCTGCTGCTGTTCTCTTGAAATTCCAGTTATTTCCTACAATAATTTCTATTTTCTGACTGCCAAGCGGAGGGTCTGCTTTCGTCCCAGATTTGTATTAAAAGTTGCTGAACAGTCAGCCGGTCACATGATCGGGGAGTTTCGTATACAATCAGTATTCATATTTTGGCTTTATGAGCTCAAGACTCTTAAAGCCCATGTATTACCCCTCTGACCCCTCGCTTACCTTGTGAACCATTTTCTTCTCACTTAAAAGAGAACTATGGGGTAACCTTTTTATCCCATAGTTCTCTTAATGGTCACGGGAGGACATGTACTAGCGCCCTCCCGTGATCCAAAGCTCAGTATATAGCAAGCTATTGCTTACTATATACTGAGGGAGCCACAGGCGGGACGGATCCCGACAATACTGTCGAGATCCACCCAGCTGCATGAGATACAGCTGGCTCTATCTTGATTGGAGCGGAGAGGGGGGGGAATCCCTGCGGGGAGTGGTGACTGACAGTCACCGCTCTCTGCAGTGAAGTAATCGGAAAGTGAGTGAACAATGGTATGCGTTCGCTCACTTCCTGATCTATAGAGCCGACGTGTAACAGTTTCATTTTCACGACGTGTAACAGTTTCATTGAAAATCACTCACCTCATAGTTCTCCTTTTAAGTCTGCTGTTCTGGCTCATTGCCGCACCACTTCTGGTTGCGGAGGACTGAAAAACCATCACTGTAGTTGTGCTTGTGCTGCCTGTTCTCCTTGCACTGACATCATCGCCTGCAGACTCTTCTCTAGATCTTGAGAGGCCCCTGACACTGTGCAGTCAAAAGAAGGTGTCAACGTGATTCAGGCCGTCATGTGGACATCCCAGAGCAGCTCCGAAAAGTGATTGTAAGCAGTGAACATTTTAAGTAACCAGGAAGATGAAAGCACTACAACAGCTGTTTAGAACTAGAACGTTCCAAGAGTGAAATTGGAGTACATAAATGTTATTTACACACTATACTTACATTCCATCCTACTAACCATATATCATCCACCAATCTCTGTGCCTACTGCTTTTGCCCCACTCCTAACCTAACTGCTTAGTGTAATATTTACCTTCTTGTTTCGTGAAGGGCATGAAATATCCTTGCGAAAAATGTTAAAAAGCTGGATGTGTTGAAGACTGCTTTGATTCTGATATGACAAATTATAAAGACATTAAAGTAACACTCCAGCTTCTCTATTGTTTGTGATAGTACCTAACCAAATATTGCGGAAGTCTACTGCTCCAGACAGTGTTAACTTACCCATCCTCTTTGTTTTACAGTCTGCACTGGAACAGATATGAAACTGCTTCACCCTTTCAGCCATGAGAATCATTATGAGACTCTGCGTACTCTCTATAAGAACTGTCAAGTGATTCAGGGAAACCTAGAAATTACCTATCTAAAGGAAAGTGATGATGTGTCTTTTCTAAAGGTGAGCATAGGCATCTGTATTCTCAGATTGTTAAAAACAATGCATAGTGTCTTTATAAATATTTTTGTATTTACTTAGATCAGTTTTTATAAATAAATATATGTAATGATTTGTATTGATAATATTGGGTAAATAAAAATATAACCTATGAATATTTCTTATTTACCAATGTCATGTAGGCAGCAACATTTAGGCCCCGTTCACACCTTTACGTTTTGTCGCGCGTTCAACGCTCTATGAACGCTCAACAAAACGTACAAACATGAAAATCCCATTGTTTTCTATGGGTCTGGTTCACACCTTTCCGTATTTCCGCCCGTCTGAAACGCCCTACAAAACGGCCTACGCTCAAACAAGTACATGTACTTCTTTGGGCCGTTTTGTAGGGCGTTTTACATTGGGATACAGCCAAGTAGCCTTCGGAATCGCGCGATGGACACGCGACTTTTTTACCGCGAATCGCGGTAAAAAAACCGCGCGGCAGACGCGCATATTCAATACGCCTAGGTGTGAACCCAGCCTTAAGCCCCATTAACACTTAGGCAATTTGTAGCTCGATTGCTTAAGGGCTGGTGCATCATGGGATCGCGCGGCCGTGCACAATTGCAGACAGCGATTGCAACGCGGCCCCATTTATTTCCATGGGGTACTTCTACGCGGCAATCGCTGAAAAAAGGTGCCTGTGTCTTTTTTTTGCGTTACACAACGTTCGGTTGCTCGGGTGGAATCCGCGCAATCCGCCCGGCGCTCTGGTGTGCCATTAGAAAATCGAGGAACCCACAGCACGATCGTCGGTGAAAGGCTATTCCATGACAGCGCCTTATGGAGTATCATGCACGAATGCTGCACAGTCACGGATCGCCCAGGATGAATCTGGCCTAAGTGCTACAACTACAAGAGGAATCCCATTTTTTTTTGGCCCCAATTCACATCTGAGCATTCTGTAGCATGAAAAAGTACATCAGCTTCTTTTCAAGCAGAATTGAGCGTGTTTGAGACCCTATAGACCTTATTGGGAGTGCTTGGAAGGCTTTTTCAAGCATTCCCATTTACAAGATTATGACGACAAAAATGTTAAATTTCAGACCATTGGGTTATGCAGCTGCCTTCAGTTAATTAGGCACTGGCAAAATAAACTATAAGAACAGTCCTATATAACCCCTCCCACTTCCAGCATGTTCACACGATTGTTTGTCCACATAGTCCTTGGACCAGGTCCTCTCTCTCTACTCCCTGACTATCTATCTGACATTCAGCAATGCGTTTTTCTGGCGTGCCTGGCTGTCCAATGCCTACAATGACTTGTCACAGAATCTACACATTCTCATCAAATTCTTTTGGGTTTCAAATTCTTTATGGAATCTGCTCGGTTGGTTATTGCGTCCCCTTACGCAGGAGATTTTGTGGCCAGTGTTATCTGCGTTTGCTGTGGGCACACACCATTACCAATTTGTTGCCTTTCCCCTTGGCCTGTGCACTACACCTCAGGTCTTGACCAAGTTGCTGACCCCTGTTTTCATCTGGCTTCCCTCTCAGGTTATTTCCATTGTGGGATATCTGAATGCTGTCTATCCTGCTAAGGAAACAGTTCGCTCAGGTTCTGTCCACCAATGTCAGCAAACCCTGCAGGGCTTTCCGATGGATCCCAAATCTTCAGAGATCTACATTGGATCTGATACACCACTTGGAGTATCTGGGCCTAACCTTAGATATGGTTCTGCCCTCCTTCCTCCCTCTGGGCAAGCTTTATTCTCTCTGCTCCCATGCTTGAATACCACAGTTCAGGAACTGCCCAATCATTTGCTTTACATTAAGGGGGCTTTGGGCCTGATGGTGGCTTCCTTTGCAGAGGTCCCTTGTGCCAAGTTTCACTGCAGACCTTTACAACTCAGCAGCATAGGACAAGCATGCTTAGTCTTCGGATCATGCCATGCGCCTGAACAGCAAGGTCAGGCTGGCCCTAGTGTGGCAGATCTCCAGATCAGCACTGGAACTGGGGAAATCCCTGTTCCCAATTGTCTGGAACATGCTCACCCTGGATGCCAGCCTGTCAGGCGGGAAGGGGGTCCTGGACACCCTCTTGGTACTGGGTACTTGGTTATCAGAAGAAGCTCAGCTCACGATCAATATTCATTGCTATCACCTCTGCGAGACGAGAGCCTGAGTTGGTGGCACAGAGTCCTTCTTAATGTTGCACAGAAATAAGGTTGTCTTGAGGCTTAAAGGACATTGCCACCTTTGTAAGTGATTTTGAGTTTTTGGTGGTAATGTGGAGGTGCAGGGGGGGTGTACATGTGTGTGCATTCTCAGGAGTCACAGGGCTGTTTTCTATACTTTATTTTATAGATTCTTTTACAGGCCAGAGGCCTAGACGTTCAAAATTCCCTCCACAATATCTGCAATCCCTCACAGGGTTGGGTTGTTATCTCTAAACTGCAATCAGCCGTTTCCCCCTCCTCCCCCTCCCCTCTGAGAGAGCAGAGATGAGTCATAGCTCAATGTCTGTGTGAGGGAGATCTCCTGTCATTGCGCTCTGTATCTGTGTGTTAGAATATCCTGCACTTGTCCAGTACTGTAGACTTCTCTGTGTTCTGTGTCTCTCCCTCTCCTGGGTCACATTTACTCACTGCTGCCCCAAGTCCAGGTTCCCCCATGTCCCCCCTCCCCCCACCATTCTTCTCATTTACAGTCTCCCGGCCGCCCAGGAGAGAACACTGCTTTTTCTTTTTTCTTATTCTGACACGGAGCCGCAATTAGAAATAAAGATCTTGTTATATCTCGTCTTGACTATTGCAACTCCCTCCTCATTGGCCTTCCACTACACAGGCTATCCCCCCCCTTCAGTCTATCATGAATGCAGCTGCCAGACTCATTCACCTAACCACCTGCAACTCCCCTTTGTCAATCCCTACACTGGCTTCCACTCGCCCATAGGATAAAATTTAAAATATTAACAATCGCTTACAAAGCCGTCCACAACTCCGCCCCCGGCTATATCTCAAACCTTGTCTCAAAGTATCACCCTAACCGTCGGCTCCGCTCATCCCAAGACCTCCTACTTTCCAGCTGCCTTGTCAACTCCTGCCATGCTCGCCTCCATGACTTCTCAAGAGTCTCTCCCATCCTCTGGAACTCTTTACCCCAACCTGTCCATCTGTCGCCCACCTTGACTGCCTTTCAGGGAAGCCTATCCCACTTCAACCTAACCGCTCAACCATCACGTTCTCAAACAATTCATCCCCACAGAGCTCCCTCCTCATGTATCCCTTCCCCCTCCCTTTTAGATCGTAAGCCATCACGGGCAGGGCCCTCCTTGCCATCTTGTCTTGATTTGTATTGAGATTGTAATGTCTTCCTTATATTGTAAAGCGCTGCGCAAACTGTTGGCGCTATATAATTCCTGTATAAAAATAATAATCTTGATTTAGTTCTGCTCAGAACTTTAAGATACCAGATTCCAAAATATAATATGAGACTCATGCTAGTGTATAGCAGGCCATGTGACATATTTTCTTTATAATTTCAGGACATCATGGAAGTGCAGGGCTATGTTTTAATAGCACACAACCTGCTGAGCTATGTACCCTTGGGGAATTTACGTATTATACGTGGCACACAGCTGTACCAGGATCGCTATGCACTAGCAGTACTGTTTAACTCTGAATCTATGGGATCAGCTGGACTCCGAGAACTGCGTTTAAAAAATCTCACAGGTGGGAGCCGTCTGTATATGTAATTCACACTGAATGTCACAATTTGTATAGCAGTGGTAATTCATAGGGGTTGATTTATTAAATGCAAATAGGCTGTTTAATTTGCAAAGGAATTTTCCCTTAGGTTAGTGATTGAGGCCAACAATACACAATCATGCCCGAGGAACATTCAAATATAT